ATACAGGTGTGGCTCCTTATGAATTTTATAAGCTCTCATGAATTCTTTTTAATTTAAAGGTTCAAATATCTCATTTCCTCCAAAAAACATTTTATTCATTATCTCAAGTTGTTCTGTTATCCACTTTTATACATATTTTATGTCTTATGGATCTCTCTCTGCCTTATCTCTGACCTTTATTTTCAGAGTCCATTCTTCTGTATCTTTTCCTTCTGAATTCCAAGATGTTCTCTAAGGCTCCCTCTATCCTGATATCTAAGACATCTGGTATCTTCTCTATAATTATTAGAACAAACTATTGTCAGGACTGTCTCCTGTGGCAAAGCACTTACAAAAGGTTCTTAGTTTCCTTCTTCTGTTAACCTCCAACTCTTTGAGTTGTCCCCTGCTACTCTGAGAATTATTGTTTATTCCTTCATTAACGGCAGCAACCACAGGATCCAGTTTTCTCAGAAATTTCCGAGGGCATCAACAGAGAACACTTGTGTTCTTATCCCATCTCTGATTTTATTAGCATTGTGGCCACAGGTGGATCTCATAACCTTTCAGGCATTCTAGCTTCTCTTCTGTGTGATGTGGGGAATACAGTCAACTTTATTTAACCCACAGGGTAGTTGTAAAAATAAAAGTAAGTAAAAAGTATATCTGAATAGTATCACATCACCTCGCCCTGGAATCCTGGGGGTCATTTCTATAGCTATATATTTACTTTTCCCAAGGATAAGTTATCTGTGATCTGTAATGCAGTCCCCAACACTTGGGTGCTAATTCCCATCCCCTCTCTCCTACTCAAGATCATTGCTTCAGCAATTGTCTCCTATGTTCCTGCTATATTAATTTCTCTCTATTGGGTCATTCCCATCACTATAAAACATGTTGTAATTTCTCCCACGTTCAATACAAACAACCCTGCCTGGACCACATATCCACCTCTGCCTCTGTTTTCTCTGTTCTTTTCAGCACATCTCCTTGAAAAGGGAGTACTCTCCTGTCTCCGTTTCATGTCCTCCTATTCTCTCTTGAACTCAACTCCAGCCAAGTTTTTGTGTCCTCCATTCCAGAGTATCAGCTTTTGTCCAGATTTCTAATATATCATAATGCCAAATTAACAGTTCTCATTTTTGATTTGGTCACTATTCTTAACTTCCTTCTTGGTACACTTTCTTCATTGGGCTTCCAGTGAAGCCCAATCCTCTTTATTTTTCCTTCTATTCAGGTGGTATCTCCTTTTCAGACTCCTTTTTACCTTTTCATCTCCCTGTTCTCTAACCAAATTTAAGCCCCCTGGCTCAGGTCTTGGACCTTTTAACCTAAAAATAAAAGGCCAAAGTAAGAGCCAACAAGTTTTTATTTGAGATCCAGGAAGCACTGGATCTCAAAAGCACTGATGAGGAAGCACTGATCCAGGCAGAATCCTGAATTGGTGTTCTGATTAGGAGATAGAGGCAAGGGATATTTATGAGAAAGAGAAGGGGGAAATTACATCGACAGAAGGAGGGCATTTCTATAGATAGAGATTAGCTAACATAGTGATGCTGATTCTAAAGATTATTGTTCATTTTCAGTCCAGTAATCATAATATCTCCTTTGCTGTTATCTCTGCAAACAGTTACTTGTGATACAGTGTTACTTCCTGCCCAGGCCAAAGGTTCTTTGTCCTAGTTTTAACATTCCAAAGGCTTAAGGAATAAGACTACAAGGCAGTTCCTCTGGGATTTCTGCTCTGGCTCCATTTTAGAGTGGCATCATTTATATTATTTTTTATAGACATTTTCCTTACTTTCACTCACTCTGGAGGTGAACTTATCTGGTCTCAGGGCTTTAAATGCCATCCGTACATCAGTAATTTTCTATTTTATTTATTTATTTTTAAATCTTTTATTGATCGATTTTAGAGAAAGAGGAAGGGAGCAAGGAGAGAGAGAGACGTCAATTTGTTGTTCCACTTATTCAGCATTCACTGTTGCTTCTTGTACGTGCTCTAGCTGGAGATTGAACCTGCAACAACCTTAGATGACTAAGATGATGCTCTAACGAACGAGCTACAGAGCCAGGGCTCCAATTTTATATTTGTACATTTAGACTTTGACTTTATCCTGAACTTCAAAACCAAATGTCTAATGGACACTTGACATTTCCACTTATGATTGTTGAGATGATTATTAAAGTCCATGATGGATGGACTTTTTCCTGATGGACCTCATATGTATATTTTTTTCTATAAAATAGGGTTTCATTAATCAGGGTGAGACAGAAATAAGTTAACAGCTGTGCATGTGAGAAACACAGAGTTTATTCTTGTTTTATTTATTCTTATATTTTCATATGGACAACTGGAAACCTATTTGCCCCACCCTCTACTGTTTTATTATTACAGTAGAGGTATATAATAATCATCTCAAGTATTAAAAGTCTAAAACAGAACTCGTAATGTTCACTCTAGAACTGATTCTCTCATAATCCTGTGTGTTAAAAAAAGGCAACTTCATATTTCTGGTTGCTCAAGCCAAAAACCTTAGTGTAATCTTGGTTTTATTTTCATATATACCTAAAATTAGCAAATCCTGTCAGCTCTGCCTTAAGAGTATATCTAAGCTCTGATCATTTCTCATCACCTCCACCACCCTAATGCAAACCATCCTCACCCCTTGCCTAGATTACTGCAATAACCTTCTCACTGGTCTCCCTGCTTCTCTCATCCCTTTGTTCTCTTCAGTCCATTTTTCATGCCTGACCTTTTTAAATCTAAATCAGATCATATCATTCCTTGGCTTAAAACAGTTCAGTGGCTCCCGTCTTACATAAGAGTAAACGCCTAAGTTCTTACAGTAATGTATAAGGCCCATGTGATCCAACTTCCAGCTACTTCTCTGACCCAGATGAGCCTCTGACCTTTCTCTCACATACCTCATTCCGCTGCTCTACTCTCCTTCCTGTGTTAATCAGAGAAAGCCTGCTCCTGCCTTGAGGCTTTTGCAATTGATCTCTCTGCTAGGAACGCACCTTCCCTAGATATCTGCATTACCCACTCTATTTTTACATGGCACCTTCTCAATGAAAAACCTTCTTGGGCCACCCTCTGTGCCCCTCAAACTCTCTATGCCCTTATTTTATTTTCTCCATAGTACTTTGGCCACCTGGCATATGAATAGCAATATCAGTGTATTTGCGACTGCCTTTTTTCTTTAGAATGTGGAATCCGCTAGGACAGGGACTAGATTTATTATCTTCCTCACAAATAAAACCATGCTATTTGAACTAGGAACTTAGTAAATATGGAAGAATTCTTTACTCCTTTTTCTTTCTCTGCCTCCCTCCAGATCCAGTTAGTTACCAGAGCCTTTGATTATACTACTTCTCTACACACGAATTCATCCCTTCCTTCTTATTTCCACTTGTCACTAACTGTCCTGGGGACAAGTACAAGCACCTTTCCGTTGATATTCCTGACTTCAATTTTACTACTCTCCAATAAAAGAATCTGGTCATATTGGCTTTATCACTTCCTTCTTTAAATTCTTCAGTGTCCTTCCACTTCTTAATGAATGAAAAGCAAACTTATATTTAGTGAGTATTCATTGATCAGTTATACCCTTCAAATACCATGGCAAGTGTCAGTCACAGTGATGATGAGACCTGGCCCTTGCTCTTATTTTATTTCATTCATACACCTTTACTTTCCAACCCCTAAGGTAATCTCCAGCAGTATCTTCCTCTAGTTTTTCAAAACTAATTAAACTTAAATTTGGATTGATTAAAATTAAATTAAGTAAGAAGTTTAGTTCCTCAGTCAAATGGGGCTAATGGCTATATTCTCTTGATGACACAGATTTCAATCATCACAGAAAGTTTATTGGCTAGCAAACACTGGTCTAGACTTTTCCCAAACTATACAAGTCATTCAAGCAGATTATTCTGTGCTCCTCAAACACATTATAAACTTTTGTCCACTGTTTTACCACTGCTCTTCACTCTTCTCTGAATGCTCTTCTTTCCCTTTTCTGTCTATTAAAATTATCTGATTTTAAGATCCCATATCATTTTCTATAACTTATAGGGAATTTTCCTTGACACCATCCCTATTGATTAAATCAGTCCTTCCTCTGACACTCCTACCACGGGAAGCTTCTTGCCCCTCTAATTAAAACCAGCCTTGCTATCCTTCTTAAAACCCTTGAGATCTCAATACCTGGAGGTACTGGCCATTCTCCACAGAACTCCAACCTTAGCAACTGCCAGCCAGTGAGGAAGTGATATTCTGCAGGAAAGCAATAGGAGGGATTTGAATGAAAAATAAGTGCTGGGCCAAGAGGCTGCTACAAATTGAGTTTCCACTTAGGTCAGTATTCTGGATGGGCAGGTGTGCTTATAAGATGCCTGTTTTTCTGTGGTTTTCTTGTTCTGTCTAATGAGTCCAGCTGGGGATGGAGGCTTTGATGAAGCCTCTAGAGTGAGTGGTATGTACAGTCAGGGAGCTACCCAAGAGGTTTTGCCTGTTGAGCATACAGAAACTGAAAGACTTTGTTTAAGAATGTCTTTCCCAGGGTTTGGACTATACAGGTATGCTATGCTGGCACTGTCCTAATCCTTAGAGGGTAAAGTCTGGGTTATGATCCTCCTTGCTGCAGCTGCAAAGGAAGATCTAATTGGAACAGGCAGAAGCTCTCTAGGCCCTATCTGAGGTACAGATTAACAGCAACAAGATGAGTGAATGTCCAGGCCATAATCCCTCCTGCAGAGGTGCATCGATTCTTGGTCAGTGCAGGAGCACACCTGCTTTGAATCCATCTTTTGGTTTCCCTAGGGTTTTAGGAGGGGCTGGGTTTTGTTTACTGTAGTTCTTAGAATTGGTATTGTGTGGAGAGACAAGGGGAGGGCAGGGGAAGTAGAGCAGGCACACTGGAAGTTCAACTGTTTTTCAGCTCATGTATTTCAGATTGTTAAGGCAAACTAAATTTATGAGAGATTTGCCCCTTCTCCCCCCTACTCTGCTTTTTCAGGACTCTGTACTTGTCTAAAAGAAGAACCTAGAGTAATCTGAGCAGGTCAGGTAGTTCTAAAAAGCCATGGCCCAGGTAAGTGGAAATTCTCTCTCTACTTGAAATAATCTGTCTTCCCTTCAGGTTATATGAACATGTGTCATCTCTGTGCTGAAATTTCCCTGTCTGAGCCCCACTTAGTAACCTGCTTGCAGTCCCTCCATTCCAGGGAATGAGTGATGGTGCTTCTCCTCTCCTAGTGGCCCTCTGTACCCAGTGTTCACATATGTACACAGTGCTTTATCAGAGCACCAATGGAGCAGAAATAAATTCTCTTGAGAGCCCCCCTTATAAGAACCATGGTTGAGTGGGGCCAAAGATAAGATAACTTTGATATTTTTCAGTAACCAGGTTAGTTTCTCTTTTTTTTTTCTATTTTTAAATGTCACCCCCTCTTTAAAAATCATAAAGTCTTTCACACTATCAGTAGTTCTTCAGCCTTGCAAGGGAATTTATGAGAGATGAATAACTGAAAAATGGTTCATTGAGGCTGAACAATCTGTGTTGGTTATGGGCCACATTTATGAGACTGAGGTACACCCTCCCTCAGCTCTTTTATTTTAGGAACAAGGAAGAGTAGACAGTGAAGAATGATAATTATTCACAAGTCTCGTTTAAACTAAATGCCCTCAAGATAATGGAATGATTATCTTATAGGACGTAAAGTACAATATTATATAACAAATAAAAATTCCCATGTTTATTATAAAATTTGCTATAACCAAAAATTGCTCATATGTCTAGCAAACAGAAGCAGTGAGAACACTATTGTCATTTTCAGCGGTATAGTTCTTTGTTGTATGGGACTGTCCAGGGTAAATAGCACAGCTAATTCAGGGTGTTTGACATTCCTGAGGCCCCAGCACACTATACCCCCTAGCCCAACCACCCACAACATGTGACAACTAGCCCACCTTCTGCATGGTCCCAAGTGTATTGTAAAGGAGAAGGTATAACGTATGTTGAGATCCACAGACTACTTATGACCCTGAATCTTCAGGATAGATTTTAAACTTCTATAAATCCTCTATTTTAAAATAGAGGATTATAAGATATTTTGAACCCTTTCTTTTTTATATCAAGGGAGGAAAAATGGTAAAGGGGGATGCATTTTTAAAGATGTTATTATTTGCTAGGCTGATGTTTGCTGCATGTTTTGTATATATTTATTTATAAGACCCTACTTAGCTAGATATTGCTCATTCCTAGACCTTGTAGTGAATAGGAAAGGAGATCTTTCTTATCTGTAGCCATCTAGGCCTTTCATTATGTATATTTGCTTCTTACACATCCTTTGTAGCATGGACATTCAGCCCCAGGCTACTAGTTTGCTTTATCACCTCCTTTCTACAGCAGCTTTTTCTTTCCATCTTACAGACATTTTCCTGGATGGATCAGGTTAAAACCTCAACCTACTCATCAATTTTAACCTCATTAAAAATGGGACAACAGTTATTGCCTCCTAATGGGACAGTACAGGAAGTACACAGGACCACCTCTAACATATTCATGCCCTCCTCAAGAAAAAGTCAGGCAGGTCTCCAGATCTTACTACCATTCACAGAAAATAAAGAAGTAGAATTTGTTAAACTGCATCATGAAGATGCAGTCAGCCAAATCCAAAATGTGGGAAACTGTACTGACTTAAATGTTTCTTTTTTAAAAATTCCTTTCTAGAGAAAGGGGAAGGGAAGGAAAAAGAGAGGGAGAGAAACATCAATCAGTTTCCTCTCATATTAAAGCATAACTGAACTAACAGCAGCTAACAGGGCTAATAACTATTGCACAGGAACAGATAAAAACTATTATTTTCATTTTCCTAGCAGCAAGGTTCATATATAAAATATTTTTGTGTTTAGTTAATTTAAGCTTTATCATGGAGTAATTTTTTAAAATATTTTCTTTACTCATTTCTAGAGAGAGGGGAAGGGAGGGAGAAAGAAAGAGAAACATAGCTATGACATAGACTGGTTGCCTCTCCCACATCCTCAACTGGGGACCTGGCTGGCAACCCAGGCATGTGGGCTGACTGGGAATCAAACCAGCAACCTTTGGGTTTGCAGGCCGGTCCTCAAATCACTGAACCACACCAGTCAGGGCTAAATATTTCTTAATAAATAGATAGTGATAAAAATTTTAGAGGCCTTTGGGAACTGTTATAGATTTGAGAGACTTTAGAAAACCTATTGGCTGAACACAGTACGTGGAGCTTGTTTGAATCCTGATTTGAACAAATCAACAGTAAGAAAAATCACTTTTGAGGAAGTTGGGGCAATTTGAAACTTAGTCTGATTACTAGGTAATTAATATTACTAATAATATTCTGGTTATGCTTTAAAAAATCTAATCAGATAGTAAAGCATTTATGGGTAAAATACTATGATGTTTGGTATGTGGGATTTGCCAAAAGATACACCAGAGGTAGAAAATGAAAAGAAAGAAATGAAACCAATTTGCAAACTCTTATTAATTGTTGAAGCAGAGTGATGAATTTATGGGGTCATTATACAAGTCTCTATACTTTTATGTATTTTGAAGTGTTTTGTAATAAATGAAAAAATTTAAAAGTCCTTTCATTTTACTAGTAATGCATGGATTTATTGTTTCAGGGATTTGTGACATTCAGGGATGTGGCCATAGAGTTCTCTCAGGAAGAATGGAAGTATCTGGAACCTGCCCAGAGGGACTTGTACAGGGATGTGACTTTGGAGAACTTCGGTAACTTGGTCTCACTAGGTAAGGATACAGGGACAGACAGAAACAAGGCTCCCAGGGACTACAACAGTGGGAGGCTGTACCAACAACTCTGGCCAGAAGGGGTAAATGAAGGAAAACACTGCTAGTGGAAGATTGTGGAGAAGGGCGTGGCTGGCAGCAGCTGAAGCTACTTCCAGAACTCCTGAGTCAAAGGATGGAGGGAAAGGGATAAGAAATAGCCTGAACTCTGTTTTCTCCTGCCAAACCAAATGAGAAACAAAAAGACCAGTATACTACAGTCCTTTACAAAGAAGCTGTCCAGAGCAGAGCAGGGTCAGGAACAGCAAGGAATGGAAATGGAAGTGGATAGTTCCATTGGCACCTCCACCTTCCCATCCTTTGGACAACTTTCATGCCTTCCTTTATGTAATTGCCCTTCTTCCTGGATAACTAAGAGACTAGGTTTGAATTTTGGAACAGCATGATCATTCCCTATATCTCTTCCTATAAACAGGACTTTCCTTTTCTAAGCCTGATGTCATCTCCTTATTGGAGCAAGGGAAAGAACCCTGGATGATTGCAAATGATGTAACCAGGTGCCCAGGTGAGCAAGAGTTGATCCAGTGGGGGAGGTCATTGGGATTAACAGCCGATTTGGTGAGTCACCTGGTAACAGTAACTTGAGCTATTGTGAGGGAAACTCCTCCCAAAGCCCTAACAACTAAGAAAAATGAAAGCCCAAGACATGAAAAGCAAACATCCTGTCAGCCTCAGCTCCCAAGGGAACCTTGTCCTTACCCACAATAATTTCTTTCTGTTCTTTCTTATCTCAGATTTTTATCCCATTTCAAAAAGAGATGTGCTCCCAACTTCCCCAGAGGCAGCCATTTTACCTATACTTGGGATTCTTTTTTCTGCAAGTCCATTTAAAAATACTTTTAAAAAAAATAGCTTCTCACTTGACCTAATTCAGCAACTCATCTGTAAACTTTTGGAGGTAAAGATTTGTAGTGGCTGAGGACAGACTCTGGAGTCAGACTGCCTGAGTTCAAATCCTGGCTCTGCCACTTCCTACATTTGTAAATGTAGGTAAATTATTTACATTCTCTATGCTTCAGTTTTCTTCTCTACAAATGGGATAACAATAGTATCTTAAGTAGTTATCGTGGCTTTTGTATGCATTAATAATGGGAAAATTCCTAGAACAATGCCAGGCAATCATGACCACTAAATAAATATTAGCAAATATTATTAATTAGCACTTGCTATACACTATTAGAACTTTTGAGTACTTAATTATAGGCTACCCTCCTTCCTGACTAATCTGCTGTGCTCATTATTTTTCATCTGAGGTCATTTTTTCCTCTTATGTGAAGAACACCCTTAAAATTTTCTTTTGTGAAGGTCTGCTGACAAATTCTCTGTTTTTGACTACATGAAAATGACTTCATTCTACATTATTCATTGTTAGTTGTAGGATACTTTCACTGAGTATGGAGTTCTGTTTTGACAAGAATTTTCTCTCATTTCAAAGAAGAAATCATTCCACTTCCTTTTCTCTTCCAATGTTGTCAACAAGTCAAATTGTTCCGATTTTAGAAAATGTGTCACATATATTTAAAAAGGCGAAAGATTTATACGATCTAAAGAGAAACCAGAGTATGTGTCACATATATTTAAAACTAGCGTTCTTTCGACAGAACCTCTTTGTCTTACTATAAATCTTTTGATTATGTTATTCAAGATCTGCATATTCTTTAACTTTCTCTGTACTTGTGCTATTAGATCTGAGAGCTGTATTATATATTTTGCTACTATAATTAAATTTTTGTAAAAATGAAATATAGCACTGGCTGGTGTGGCTCAGTGGATTGAGTTCAGGCTGCGAACCTTTAAAGATTTTATTTATTCATTTTTAGAGAGAGGGGAGGGGAAGGGGAAAGGGAGAGAAACACTGATGTGTGGTTGCCTCTCACACACCCCCTGCTGGGGACCTGACCTGCAACCCAGGCATGTGCCCTGACTGGGAATCGAACCAGTGACCCTTTGGTTCACAGTCCGTGCTCAATCTTCTGAGCTACACCAACCAGGTAAATAAAATCTTTACAAAAAATGAAATATAAATCCTTACATAGTTTGTGCTTTTATCAGTACATCCTTTCTTTTCCTACTTAGTGCTTTTAACCTTGATTTTTATATTTCTGATATTAATAACAAATGCCCTCTTTTGTTGACTAAAATAATGAAATATCTTTGCTTATCTTTTTTAAAAAAATATTGCTACTTTATTTTAAGTGTATCCATGATAATCAGGATTCTATTTGAGTTTTCTTTTTGAATCAGTCTGAAATTTTTTGACTTTAGTAAGGGAATTTAGTTCATTCTCATTTATTCTGATAATTAGTATGTCCTTATTCCTGCCATTTCATTTTATATTTTCTGTTCCTCATTCTTATTTCCAACTATTCCTAATTTGCTCACATTTTATTATACCACTGTTCTACTTTCAGGTGATTTTGAAGTTGTACTTCCTGTTGCTTTGTAATAGAATAGTCTTTAATTTGACTTTTAAAAATATGTTTAAACCTATATATTTATCTACTCACCTCAAGATTGAAATAGAATTTTTTCTTTGTAGTAAAGTTATTCTGAACTTTCTTATTCTGAAATAATTTTAGGCCTGCAAAAATATTACAGAGAATTCCCATATACCCTTCACTCAGCTTCCAATTATGTTAACATTTTATTTGACCACAGTACTATTGTCAAAAATGGAAATTAGACTTCTGCCCAGATGGAGGGATAGGTGGAGACGCTGTGCTTTCTCACACAACCAAGTTGAGAGACAACAAAATATTAGCAACAGAAAACACAGCCAGAACACGGAAAATTGAACTTTTCGGAAGTCTGATAACAACGAATTCTTCAGCCTGATTGGTAAGAGGGGCGAAGCCAGCAGCTGGCGGAGCAGGGTTGCACAGGAAAACTCAGTCAGACGGACTCAGGTGTGCGGATCCCAGGTGTGGGGTTGCAACAGGCAGACCCAGTGAGTGACCCAGTGAGCAATCCAGTGAGCTACTGGTAGACCCAGCGAAGGCGCAGGGTGGCGGGTTAACTGTGGTCGCACATTCCTGCACAGATAGACCAATGAGGGAGTAGGCGGTGAGACTGGACCAAGCAGGCCCCAGTGGCGGGGGCAGAGGGGGCTGCCCTTTACCTGCTCTGACCCTGCCCCCACATACAGCATCACAAACTGGCAACCTGGGCAGCTCCGCCCTGGTGAATACTTAAGGCTCTGCGCCTCATACTTAATGGGTGTGAACAGACCAAAAATGGCTTAAGAAGAACTCAAAGCTCCAGAGCCCATAACTAAACAATGAAGAAATAGCCAAACTTTGAGATGCACAGTTCAAAACACTGGTGACCAGGATGCTCACAGAACTGGTTGATTTTAGTCACAAATTAGACAGATATATGAAGGCGAAACTAATTGAAATGAATGGAATTGCACAGGGCACCAATAGCAATGAAAAGGAAACTGGGACTCAAATCAATGGAGTGGACCAGAAGAAAGCAAATAATGGCCAAACAGAAAAGAGTCAAGAAGCAAGAATTCAAAGAAATGAGGAGAGACTTAGGAACCTCCAGGACATCTTTAAATGCTCCAACATCCAAATTATAGGGGAATCAGAAGGGGGAAAGGCACAGCCACCAGTGGAAAACTTATCTGAACAAATAATAAAGGAGAATTTCCCCAATCTGGCAAAGGAAATAGACTTCCAGGAAATCCAGGAAGCTCAGAGAGTACCAAAGAAGTTGGACCCAAGAAGGAACACACCAAGGCACATCATAATTACATCAGCCAAGATTAAAATGAAGGAGAGAATCCTAGAAGCAGCAAGAGATAAGGGGACAGTCATCTACAAAGGAGTCCCCATCAGACTGTCAGCTGATTTCTCAAAAGAGACCTTACAGGCAAGAAGGGGCTGGAAAGAAGTATTCCAAGTCATGAAATCCAAAGACCTACAACCAAGATTGCTCTATCCAGCAAAGCTTTCATTTACAATGGAAGGACAGATAAAGTGCTTCTCAGATAAGATCAAATTCAAGGAGTTCATCATCACCAAGCCCTTATTATATGAAATGTTAAAGGGACTTATCTAAGAAAAAGAAGTTAAAAAAACATGAACAGTGAAAGGACAGCAAACTCACAGTTACTAACAACCACACCTAAAACAAAAGCAAACTAAAAGGACAGCTAGATCAGGAGTGGAAACATAGAAATGAAGATCTCATGGAGGGTTAGCAACAGGGGAGTGGGAGGAGGAGAAGGGGGGAGAAGGTACAGAAAGTAAGTAGCATAGACAGTAGGTAGAAAATTGATGGGGGGGCAAGAATAGTATGGGAAATATAGAATCTAAAGAACTTGAGATGCATGGTCATAAACTAAAGGGGGGGAACGGTGGGGGCGGGGGGTGCAGGGTGGAGGGGAATGAAGGGGGGAATAGAACAACTGTAATGGCATAATCAATAAAATTTTAAAAAAGGAAATTAACATTGATATAATTCTATTAACTACATATCTTACTATAATTTTATCAAGTTTTTCGGTAATGTCCTTCTTCTGTCTCAGGATCCAGTCCGTGACCTCACACTTCACTTACTTATTGTATCTTCTTAGCATCCTCAAATCAGTGCCAGTTCTTCAGTCTTTCATGACCTTGATACTTTTGATAAGTAATATTTTTGAGAGTTTTTCTTATGATTAGATTAAGATTATTCACCTTTGGCAAAATTTCACAGAAGCGATATGTATATCTCTATGATACTGCAACCTCTGTGCACCATATGAGAGTTTACTTGATGTTAATATGGCTTATTACCAGTGTTGTTAATTATGACCCCTTGGTTTAAGTAGTGTCTCCTATGTTTTTCCCCTGTAAAGTTCTATTTTTCCATCTGTAATTAGTAATTATCTTGTGGGGAGATATTTTGAGACTACACATTTTTATCTACTGAATTTTAGCATCCATTGGTGTATCTTGTCTATAGTTATAGAAAACCCTGATAATTATTAAAATAGTGTTGCCCAGTGTCGATTTTCTGTCCCTTATTCTTTCTATATTTACTAATTGGCATTCTTCTGTAAGGAACAGCTGTCCTTCCTCTCTCTTCCATTTATTTATTTATTCAATGATTTGGTTCTATCAGCATGAGATTATAGATGTTTATTGTAGTCTGTGGGTTATTTTCACTACTATCATTGTCTATTTCATTGAACAGTTATTTCAAGTTCTTCAAGCTTTGGGAATTCCTTCAGGTTGGCTCCTGGGCCCTCTCAGCATGCCTTTATTCTTTGGTACTTCCTATTTTCTGGTACCACAACATATTTTATTTTACTTTAATTATTTTATTGTGGTTTAATTACAGTTGTCTGAATTTTCTCCCCACCATTTCCCCCTACCCCAGCCAAATCCACCTTCTTCCCTTGCTTCCACCCTTCCCCTTGGTTTTGTCCATGTGTCCTTTATAGTAGTTCCTGAAAACCTTCCTCCCGTTATACCCTCCCCCCGTGGTTACTTTCAGATTGTTCTTAATTTCAGT